CATATTATATTATTAAGGATTTGTTTTAATTATCTATATTACCTTATAAACTAAATTTGATAAAAGTCTTAAAAACAACCTTAAATACATAAGGTACTACATTTTGACGCATAAAGTCTTAAAGTTTTAAAAACAAATCATAATGCATAGAGTACTACAAATTTATGCATAAAGTATTAAAAATGATGAATCTATACTCCCCAAGCCAATGTTCGCTTCCAAAAAATCCATTACGGCTCCCAAAGACGTCGATTCCTTCTCCCCAAGGCAATGATCTAGCTCATTCCTTCGCCCCAAAGACGTCAATTCCATCAATGCTTCCCTCTCAAAGAGGCGATTCACGTTCTTGAAACCATCACTGCTTCCCTCCTCCCTCTGCGTCCTTGTCACCTCTCCTCCTATCCTCTGGTGTTCCTCCTTGCTGGACGGCCTTCATTCTGAGAAAATGAAGAATTAAAGAGAAGGAAGAGTTAAAATCGAACAAAATTGAAGAGTTAAATGAAGGTAAGAATCAAAACATTAGAATCCAATAAAGATTAGGGTTCTTATCAAATGCCATAAATAAAGATTAGGGTGTTTATTCAGTAATACTGCTATTCATGTGATTGTTTTAAAACCCACCTTCTACTCTTTCAGTAGGCGACCGTCCTGCTGCTAAAGTGCCAGAAATGATGAACCTAAACAATTTAAAGGTTATTGCTTTTCTATTTCCTTTTCTATAAGTTGTAAATGTAGACACTGCTTAATTTTTTTTCTTTAGCTTGTTCCTGATGCAACCTTTATTTACATAATGCATCTTCTCAATCGCTTCTTAGTATTGTGCATAAGATTCTTGATGACAGCATTGAGTTTAGGAAAGATGATGTACCAGATGTAAGGCAATTCTTGGCTTCTAACAACACTTGTGATTTCACAATTAATCATTAGATCATTAAATAATTCTGTAAATTCATTTTCTTTTGTGTAGAGAGTCATCTGTCTATTGAAAAAGCTTGTTCAAATGATTGAGCAACGGATTTCAAAACAAGCAGAGGACTTCAAGAAGGTAAAACTTGAAGTTATTCTTGTGTGTACAAATTCCACTCTTAACACTTGTAAATGACGGTTTCTTTTATGTACCTTTAGCAAAACAATCTACATAAGACTTGAGAAGAGAGGTATCCATTGAGAATTAGAGTACTTGAAACTCTTGCAACCAGGGCTGCAGAAGAAAATGAGGTAGCTTGAGTTTGATAGTTGTCTTGGAGGTGGCATACTTGTTTTACCTATTCTTTATTTTAACTAAAAAAAGTTTGTTATTTCTACTAGGTCATTATGAATCAACTCCAGCATATAAAGGTGCCTTTTCTATTCCTGCATCATGTTCTTAATCACAAATAATGATAACTTATTAATGTTTTTGTAGTTAAAATCCTAAGGATTTCAGAAAGATACATAAAATAGGATTCAGATAGACAGTATGTACAAACTTGTTTTTGTGTTGGTCTTCTCCTCCTTAAAGTTTTCAAA